CAAGAAAGGAATCACCAGTCTGTTTGAATTCATCCTGGTGAAATTCTGTAATGCATCTGGACACTGTTTAAATGGATTTGAGTGAGAAGGAATTACTCATCCTTTATTTTAACTGTACCTAGAAAATAAAGATGGTCATTCTATGTGCTTATTTTTTTAAGGAAGCCATCATTTCAGAAACAAACACACCTGATATTGGCTCTGATGAAGTGTCAACTAAAATCAACCCATTCCAGACAGTAAACCATGTTATAACAGTAAGTAAAGACTGTTGAAAGTTAAGCATCATCAATATGCTTAGTTAAGTGTTATGTGAACCATGTGTCATAAATGCTGCCCTAGCATCCAAGTAGAAATAATTAGCAAAAATGCAAATGAATGATTTAAAATAAGAATATTTAATAATAATAATACAATAAAAGCTCACTCCATTGTGGACCAGATATTCAAGGACTCAACCCCTATAGTTGGGATCAGATTACTGCAAGAGCTTCCATTTAGGTGCCAAAATAAGAAGTCTTTTTTCAAAGAGAGCAGGATTGTTTGGATCTCTTGAAAATCTGTCTTAAGGCATGCTTACAGTGCCTCCATGCCACCTCTAGGACAGTCACTGTGAAGCAGGTCCATCTCACATATTCTCATTGTGCACACAAATCTTGGAAATGAGGCAAGGTATACTGACTGGCATGCCTGAGACAGACCCTAGAAGTAGTGCTGAGTGCATACTCATTGCCACTTTAAAGTGGCTATTTTGCCTCAGTTTGGGAATTGAGGCATGTGGAGTGGGTGTGATGGGCAGATAGTCTCCACAGCAGCTCTGCTGGACACATCACAGTGGTGATACAGACCTAATCTTTATATCAGAAATGAAGATGCTGTGTGCTAAGCATTTCTTGTCTATTTTAAGGTGCTTAAATGGAAATTAAACTGTTTGAAACTGTGGCTCAAGTGTGTTGCTACTTTGTACTTGAAATGCTGTTTCTTCTACCAGGAACACATTGTAAAATCCAGGTAATCTGAAGGAATAAGGTTGAATCTAAAAACATCCCACTTAGATTAATGTAGCCAGAGCTCTCCATCAGCAGAGCAACTTTTCTTGGACTAGGTATAGGCATTCAGGGAGTTTAGCAGGAGGTTAAATTGCATTAAAAATGGCCACCCAATCTAACTTAGTTTGCCCAGGTACAGACCTTACACTTAGATTGACCTAACTGGGGTTCTAAGCACAAACTGTACAGAAGTTCAGGAAGGTTAGATCAGTCTAAAATGGCTAAGCACATCTAAGTTAACTTGACCTCAGATGTCTAACTAAGATTGGGTCTGGTGATCCTGATTTAACTGAACTTCTGCACAGTTCACAGCACATTCCCGGGGCTGGGAAAGCCCAGCCACTGACCCTAGCCCTGGGGCTGTGCTTCCCCTACCTGTCCCCCTGGCACTGGGATCTTTTTAGCTTCCTGGTCTTTTAGCCCTCCCTTGGATGGACAACCCCCCCATCCCCCATGGGCCAGCCAGCCCCTGCCAAGCCTGCCAAACCCCACATCCTGTAAGCCGGTCCTGGCACTGGTTTTACTGGCATTCACTGGTGCTGGGAGCTGGTTGAAGTAAGTTGGGGTGGGGGCAGGGGTGAGCGGGATCAGGGGGTAGGTTCTCTGGATGGGGGTTGTTCATCTGAAGGTGAGGGGGGGTCAGGGGGCTAAAAATAGTCCCTGGTCCTGGGGGTGGGTCCCCCCAAATCCCCCTGCAGACCCTGTTAGCCCCCCTGATCTCATCAAACCCTCTTGGTTCCTGCTTACTTCTCTGATTCCCCCACATGCTCCACTTGCCTTCCCATTCCCCTCCCCCACAGACTCTTCTTCCCCCCACAATCCTCCCCAATCCCCCACAGACCCTGCTTGCCCCCCGATCCACTCCAATCCTAGTCCAATCCCCCTGACCCCCCAATGGACCCCACTTGTCCTCCCAATCCACCAAATCTGCCCTGTGGACCCCACTTGCCCCCCTCATTTGCTTAATGGACCCTGATTGCCCCCCTCATCCTCCCTGTGGACTTTGCTTGCCCTTCCAATCTCCCTCACACTGAGCTCTCAAGTTTCCTTGCTAACCCCCCATCCTGACTTGCCTTAGATCAGGGGCCCATTTTTAGCTCAATCTAACCTCCCTGAATGTCTGCCCATACCGTCAGTCTGGGATCTGGTAACCCCATTCACCAGAAAGCACTTTTTAAAATTTTCATTCTTTGAGTCCATTTTTCAGAACATACTAACCTGCAACATAACTAACAGGCACATCATTTCGCTAATTTATATGTATGAGAGATTGCACAGATAAGATATTATTCAATTTTTATTAAAACTGGTATTTTTAAAGCAGTTTGATTACATGCTTGGTCTTAGGACCAAAAATATATTAGAAAGAGAGTAGGATGGAAAATGGATATTCTATTTCATGATTTAAAGATTTGGCTTGGTTTGAGCTGGGATGGCTACCCCTAGAAAATGTAAAATTATCACAAAAGAAAATTTCAGCAAGTTTAAATGCTTTGTTTCATTTTTTGGTGTTTATTTTATCATGCATAAAATGCAAAACACAATTTCAAAATGAGTCATTTCTAAATGAAAATATTGAAACTTGTTCTTCTGAAAATATTAACAGAAGAAATTGTTAGAACTTTCTTTGTACATTTTCATTTTGATGGGACTGCATTTTTTGACTGAAAATGGTTCTGTTATTTTCTTTGATCTTTCCTAATCAGAGATGTTGTTTTAAAGATTATATTAATTGGTGAGATAGCATTGATATTCAGCTTAACCATGGTTGAAATGTCTGGGTAATTCAATGACTGGGAGCCAGAATGTTTTATTAATAGAAACAGTCTTCCTTGTTTGATAAGGAGGACTGACTTCGTTGTCATACCACCTGCTTCTTTTCTATATCTCTCCAGAGGTCGTCAGCCTGCGTACCCCTCAACAGGAAGAGCAAGGGAAAGGTCAGATAATAATATGCAAAATTGACATCAGCATAAAGGTTTCTGTAAAGAAACATTTAGAAACATCAAAAACATCTATGTAGAAGCCCTTCAGCACCTTCAGAACAGCCTTAACAATTGACATCCTCCCTGCTGTTGAGGGACAAACAGGTTGACCACCTCTGGAGGGATATAGCAAAGAAGTAGTTGGTATGGCAAGAAGTCAGTCCTCCTTAGCAAACAACAAGGAAGACTGTTCCTATTATGTTTGACCCCAGATAACATCCAACAATCATGGGGTCTAGTATTTATTCAAGACTGTTACCCTACTTCTGTTGATTTTTAGATTCAGTCAGTATCCAGTCTCATTTTTTTACAGGATTTACTCTGGCAAAGCTCCTGTTGAACACTAGTTACTGTTCCCCTTGACAAAAGCTTGTAGGCTTGGGTCAACAGGATTTGGTACAGAGAAAAGACATAAAGTATACAAATGACCCAAAAAGAAATGCAAAATGTTAAAACTCTTGGTTCAGAGATGATACCTTTTATTAGACCAACTAAGAAATCACACACAAAAAAAATCTTTTTCTGCAAGCTTTTGTGCACACATGCTGTTCCTCAGGCTTATGGAGAGTTAAAGGTGGTAAAAAGTCTCCATAGGTAGAAAATAAACTTCATTTTTGCACAGAGGAAGCTGAAGGTGGAAGTCTGTTCCTCTGGGTCCACGAGAGTATCTTTGTGAGTTGCTCTTTGATGTGCAAATATGGCAGGATTCCTTCCCTGGTGGTGTCAGATGGCAGAAAGGCAGGGAGGTGGAGAAATCTTTCTTGTTGTTCAGCAATGAAGTTTAAATCCCAAATCACCAAAAGTATTCAATGATCCAGTAGATCCTTACCAAAGTTTCAGTGGGCTAGAATCTTCCCCTTATTAATGATCTGGGAAGCAGTATTACACCTCTCAATTCTTCGTTGATGACCTTTGTATTCCTGACCAAGACCAGTCAGTTACAGATGGAAACATCTTTCTCTAAATTAATTCAATTTAAGAGCATTTTTTGTCTTAGGCAACACTTCTGTCTTTTACCAATCTGCAGGGTTGTGTTTAATTTCTATACTTAATGTCTTTTCCATTCATGGTGTCATTGCCACTACTGAGTATGATGTCACTGCTTGATTCAATTTTCCCTCTCTGCTCCTCTATTCTTCAGAGCTGATTGCTCCAAAAGTGTTTGAAAGGCCTATTTGATTTTGAAAGGCTCATCAGCCAGATCAAAATACAAATTTTCAATACCAGCCATCAGATTTAATGACAGTTAGAATAATCAGTTGGACAAACAAGAAAAGTTCTTTCACCGTGTCCCTCTTTTCAAATATAAAATAGACACAAAATACCTTTTAATTTATAGTTGAACAGCTTACATTTTTAAATTTATAATCTCAGCAAGTTAATTTGCAATTAAATATATTTTTAACTTTCAAGCTTTATAATCTTGCCACAACTAGACTAACACATATCAAAATAGCTAAATCAGTTTTAATTCATTTTTTGCCTTCTATTATTTGAAGGCAAGGCTGTGGTTGGAAATTCTTCCTGAAGAATAAAATGATCTTATTTTGATTTAGCTTAAGTTGATTCTTTACCATCTGAGACTTAATTCAGATAAAATTTCCTTAAGCCTGGATAAATAGTTACATAAACTTGCATCCAAATATAGACGGTATGTATTAAAAACAATGCACTTTTTTAGTGTAAGTTTGTAAGTAGCTGTAATTAAGTAGTGTAAGAAGCTGAAAAAATGTTTTAATGTTACAGGATCTGGATCATTACCTATAGAGCAGTTATTCTCAGTTTTAGCAGTATTAGGTATGTCAACATGATTCACATGATAAACCGATAAACCCAGAGATTTCTAACAGGAATCCACAGTGTTAAAAACATTCTGCCCTGCTGTGTTCTGTCTTAGTTCTTTGCAATAGAAGACTGCTTTATTATTTTTCCGTAATCAAAAAACAAGTGAAAACTGAGACCTGGCATTTTCTGAGGGGAGCCTCAAGTCTAACGATGGGTACCTTGAGTCTAAAACAAGTTATGAACAACTGCTATAGAGACTTGTACTTTCAGAGCCAATCCTTGTATCATCAATTTCCATAAGAACTGCCAAAATCCAAGATGACTTTGAATTTCAGATGACCCCCAATAATTAGATTTTATACATGGAAAATTATAGGTTTTAAAAAATAATTGTCCATGTACAGAATCCAGTTATAAGGGGGAGAGGAGGGTATGCCC